GCCAGGCCCCGGAGCCAGCCATGCCAACCTGGGCCGTGGCATCCAATCCAGCCATCCGACTGTCACGCCAGTTGCACGCTTTGGGGAACCATCTCTGCTGAGTGGTCCTTCTGAGTCAGCGGGGTCTGCTCCCTCCTAAGGGCCCCCCACAGTAGGGTCCCCTCTTCACACCTGCTCCCTGAGGGTTAGCAGTCCTGAGGTCTGGCTCCCCACACGTGTGGATGCACCTGCCTCCTGACAGGGTGCCCCTGGGCAAACCAGCTGCCCTCAGCTGTCCCATCAGGACACTGGGTGACCTCAGAACAGGGGTGGGACACAAGATTCCCTAAATCCGCAGCAGGCTAAGGGGGAGGTTGTGACTCTGCAGGGCCGACAGACGGTGGGACGAAGACCCACGTGGACCTGGGCTGAAAGGTTTCCAGTCTAGCGGGCAGCTGTTCCAGACGCAGACCATTCCATGGACGCACAGCTGCAGTGCCACCATGCGTCATGCTTTCTCTGGCACTGATGGGCTGAGGCTAACTGGGTGACGCTTGTCATAGCTCAGGGGTCCTCTGCAGAATCCCCATGGCTGCCTGGCGTTCGGACAGAGATGAGAACTGTTGGGCGAGGTGATGTGGTGCATGCTGTGTGGGTCAGAGCAAAGTGGATTTTCTTGAGCCCCATTCAGATCTTGGGGTACACCACCACTTCCTGCCCTGGGGGACCCTCACTGTCTCCCCCTGGTGGCAAGCATTTATAGATACAGCTGACAGCCAGTGCGTGGGACCTGCCCCCAGGTCGCCCAAGCAGCCACTGTCAGTACTAGGTCCAGGACCCTGGGCTTCCCAGGGTCCCTGCTGCACAGGGCTGGGCACGGGAGATGCACTTGTGGATGTTCACACAAAACCCACTGCTGAGAGGCAGGAAGAAGGAAGGGAAAGAGGCAGCAATGGAACCTAGAAGAGCCAAAAACAGCAAAAGGAACAGAAACTTCTGCCAACCCCACTCACTTTTACCCACAGGGAAGCCAAACATGGATAGCCATGGCTGAGGCCTCTTGCCTGGCCCAAGGTCCCAGCCCAGCTGCCTCCCTCTCTTGAGACGGCACCCTGCTCACTGGTGCTTGAATGGAGAGAAAGCATTAGAAAAACCACAGGGCTTTATTCATCTGGCGGTGCGGGGGCAGGCGGGGGGCAGGTGTGCAGGGTGTGCAGGCTCTGCAGGCAGGGGTCCTACTTGCCGGCGATGAGTGGGTTGCGCAGGACCACAATGACCGAGTCCCCGCGCAGGAACATCTTGGAGATGTAGCGGTCCTTGTTGACTGGCTTAGACTTCTTCTTGCCCTTGCCGCTCTTCGGGACCTCGGTCCACATCTCCTTGACGTTCTCCAGCACCATGTTGCAGTGCCTGGGGCGGGGGACAGAGGGTGAGGAGGCGGCGCTGGCCCCTGCCAGGGGCCCACCCTGCCTGGGCTGTGACGAAAGACTCGTCCTTCCTCCTGCTCTTTGAAACACAGAAGAGGGTGCTGCCTTCCTCGAAGCACTGGAGTCAGGGGTCAAGAACTGGGGCAGCATTTCTATCAAAGAACTAGAAAGCAACTCAGCCACAGAACGCTTCCGCCTGAGCCACAGGATGGAGGGAGGCAGCAGCAAAGGGCGGGCTTGTCTCTCAAGTGCAGAGAGATGGGGTGTGGGGTGGGGAGTCTTCCACCTACAGGTTAGCACCCTGCATGCCGGCAAAGAGCCAGGGGTGGCAGAAGCCAACACGAGGCACCAGGAATACCAGGGGTGGCAGGGACCTAAGCACTGGAGCTGCCACCTGCCACCTCACAGGGTGCAAGTGAGCGAAAGGACAGAAGTGGGAGAAGACAGTCTATGGCCTGGGAAAGCAGTCGAGGACGGCCCAAACCCTTGGGACCCTGCACCCTTGTGGGAGACCAGGAAGAAGCTCCCAGCTCTTGGCTTTGGATTGGCTCAGCTCCGGCCGTTGCGGCTGCTTGGGGAATGAACCAGTGAATGTAAGATCTGCCTTTCCAATAAATAAATCTTAAAACAAACAAACAAACAAACAAACAAAACCCTATGCATTTATTTTAATAACATGTATTTCTCATGGGCTTTGCACCTCATGGGAATAGTACCAAATGGTACGAAGAACAAAGAAAAAGAAAAAGCCAGGAGTGCGGAAGCTTTCTGCCGCAGTTCCCCGCAGGGACACTGTGAGGGCACAGGGCAGGAGGGGCCCAGAGTCCGACTCAGGTGAGCAGCGAGGCCTAGCCAGGACACACAGCCCTCAGAACACCTTCTCCTGGGCAGATAGCGGCATGCGCCCCTCAGCAAAGCACGGGACTGTATTTCCAATTCAGAAAAAAAAAATTACAAAGACCCATTATACCCAGGCCCTCTTTCCCACTGCCCTCTCAGGTGCGTCAGCAGGGAGCTAGATTGGAAGGAACAGCTGAACTTGAACCGGTGCCCACGTGGGATGCTTGCAAGACAGGGAGCAGTTTAACCCACTGCACTACAATTCCAGCCTCAAGATTTTTGATTAGCAAGACAGATTTACGGAGAGGAACAGGAAATCAGGCTGCAAGGGAGCAGCTGGGCGGTTCCACTGGGAGGGGAGCAACAGCACAGATGCCCTGCTGGGCACTGGTTCAAGTCCTGGCTGTTCCACTTTCCAGCCAGCTCCCTGTTAAGGCACCTGGGAAAGCAGAGAATGGCCCAAGTCTTTGGGACCCTGCACCCACATGGGAGACCCAGAAGAAGCTCCACCTGGAGAATGAACCCACCGACAGCAGACCTTTCTGCATCACAAATACAGGTGTGGCATGTGGCCTAGGAGGTGCCTGCCTCTGGATGCACGGAAGGCATGGGGGGAACAGGAAGGGCAGGCAAAAAGCTTTCCAGCTTCTTTCAGTAACTCAATCTGTCCCATGTGCCCGATGCTGTGAGGAGCCCTTAGCCTGTGTGAGGTCAGCTGCCCCAGGTACACCGGCCATAGAGAGGGACCCCAGCCCAGGCTAGCACCCCAGCCTATGCCCACGGCAGTGGTGGTGCTGAGACGCCTGTCAGCCTCAGCCAGGAGCCCACCCGTGGAAGGAGCCAGCAGCCCCGGGCAGGAGCCCACTCGCAGAAGGAGCCCACCCGCGGAAGGAGCCGGCAGCCCGGCCAGGAGCCCACCCACAGAAGGAGCCCACCCTCAGAAGGAGCCCGCAGCCTGCCCAGCAGCCCACCTGTCGAAGGCCTTCACGCGGCCCAGCAGCTTCTTGTTGTTGCGGCAGTTGATGAGCACCTGTGTGTTGTTCTTGACCGACTGCGTGAGCACCGAGAGGGGCCCCGTATTGAACTCCTCTTCCTCCCGCTTCTGCAGCTCCTCGGGCGTCATCTCACTCTTGGGCTTGTTGAGGAGACTCCTGGATGGAGGCGCGGGGACCCGGTGGCGATCAGAGGGGCAATGGCCTCAGCCTTCTCCCCTGGCATAGCTGCCCAATCATGTCAGACTTGGCACACTGCAGGCCTGGCTCCAGCCTAACCCTCCCCCTCTGTCATTCATGAGCAAAACCTGATGACAACCCAGCTTCTATCTCAGATGCGCCATCAACCTTGCCAAGAAACGCTGTCCGTCCCCTCCACCTTTCCCGTGCTCTGAAACCTGACCTATGCCACCTAACCATCTGGACACTTGTCTCCACCATTGACGGGGTTGGGTCCTAGGAATCCCCCTGCAGCTGTTCAAACCTCTTCTATAAAACAGCTCTATTAGAGTAGGCACTGTGGCTAAATTGGCTAGCCCTCCATCTGCAAGCGCCAGGATCCTATAAGGGCGCCGGTTCGTATCCCAGCAGCTCCACTTCCCATCCAGCTCCCTGCTTGTGGCCTGGGAAAGCAGTCCAGGACGGCCCAAAGCCTTGGGACCCTACACCCATGCGGGAGACCCACAAAGGCTCCTGGTTTTGGATCGGCTCAGCTTCAACTGTAGGAGCCATTTAAGGAAAATATCTCTCCTCTGTAAATGCCTTTGCAATAAAAACAAGTAAGTCTTTAACAGCTGTTTTGCTGAAAAAGTTGGGGAATAGTGACAAGCGGCCATAGATTCATGCTTGAGGCGCCAAATCCAATGCTTTCCGCGGGCCTGGGCGACGTTTCATTCAGCCATTCGCCCACGTGTGCATGCATGCAACGCACATGCAGCGAACCAATCCCCCCCCAGGTCCAGGCAGTGACGGAGACCCGTCCCAGGGGCCCATCGGGGCGGACAGCCGCCTCCCGCGCCCTCCAAGTCGGTGCCCGCTCCTCTATCCTCCGCATTCGAAAAATGGCTCCTCCTCGTCCGTCTCAACCAAAACTGCGGGCAAGCCCGACCAAGCTGCCCCGCGCCCTCCGCCCAGGCCGCCCTCCACCTCGCGGTCCCGCCTGCTCCGGGGACCCGGCCAGACCCACACCCCGCGCCTCCGCCCGGCCGCTCGAGCCTCACATGGTGCCGGCCGCTACGTCCCGCTCCTTCCTCCGCCTCGCCGCAGCTTCGGGGAACCGAGAGGGAGGGGCGGGACTTCCGCTTCCCGCGGCCGCCCCACTTCCGCGGGCGCCTGCGCACAGCTCACGCGCGGCGATGGGCGAGGCCTGTCACCATGGCGACCATCGTCCGCGGATTGTGGTGGGAGTGGCCAGTTACCATGGCGATCCCGCCCCTGCGCAGGGTGGTGGGCGTGGTTTGCTGCCATGGCGACCCCGGATTGGGGTTGGGGGATAGTGCTGTACAAGGCTGGAGAAGGAGCCACAGGCCCGAGGAGGCGTCGTTCCGTACCAGGAACATGGAGAGCCAAACCAACAGGATCTGATTCGAGCCAGCCCGCGGTCGGAGCGGCGTAGGTTGCAAGGGTTTGTTCTAAATGCCCGCCGGCCCCAGTTTCCGCTTCAGGGACGGCCTCCTGGCGTGCCCACAGCTCCTCCCGACCCACGCGACCAAACGTAGCCCATTGGCTCTCCCTCCTCCTGCCTTTAGCCTCAGCGTTTCTTCTTGGGGAGCCATCCCCGGTGTCCCAGGGAGCCGGGGAGGCGCGTCCCCGCGGCTGGGCAGCGTCCCATTGGTTTCCCGCCTCGTACGGTACCCGCCTCTTCGGTCGCTCATTGGTTTTGAGATTCCATGGTGGGTGGGCCTTGGCTGGAGCCTCCACTTGATCCGCGATCCCCACCCCGCTGCCCCCGCCACCGGTTTTTAGAACCGAAAGCTGCCATGCGTTCCGGGAGCCGCGGGCGGCCTCGGCCCCGGCTCGGCGATCGCGGCGTCATGGCGCCCAGTTCCCCGCTCAAGCGCCGGCTGCTTCCGCGTGCCCAGCTGCTGCCGCTGCTGCTGCTGGCGTTGGCCTTGGGCTCGGCTTTCTACACGCTCTGGAGCGGCTGGCACCGCCGGACCGAGGCGCTGCCACGGGGCCAGGAGCTGCGGGTAAGGCCGGGTGCGCCCTGGCACCCCGAGGGCCCTCTTGGCCCCACTTCCTCTTTCGGGTTGACGTGGCGTGACCCAGGGCCCTTGGCTGCAGGTTCCCACCAGCTGGGTCCCTGGAGGGCAGTGCCCTCTCCAGGCGCGCTGCGTCTGCAACAGTGGCTTCTTTTCTCCCCCAACCCTCTGGAGAGAACGGGTCTGGGGTCGCCAGGCTGGGGAGTTCTGGGTTCCAAGCCTGAAAGGCAAGCATATGGAAGCGTGTCTCCCTGGGCTTTGATTTCCCTATCAGTGGTGGGTCAGGCTGCAGGATGGGCTGGGAGAGACTTTGATCTTGGAAATCTTCGATGCGCGTTAGAGGAAGCAAGACTTTGAGGGGGAGGTTGCTGTGTGTTCTGGGTAGGGTTGCAATGGGTGTGTGTGTCGGGGGCTGGGGGGACGGGATGTGCTCATTCTTTTCCTTATCCCACTTGGCTCCTCAGAGCCCGCAGGTCGGAAGTCTGCCTGAAGCCCGGCTGCGGAGGGTGGTGGGGCAGCTGGACCTGCAGCGGCTGTGGGGCAATTATCTGCACCCACTGCTCATTGTGAGGCCTCCAGGCACTCCTGGCAATCTCCAAGTCAGGAAGGTAAAACCCCCTCTTACTTTCCCCCCAACACTGATGCTCCTCCCAGCCCCAGCCCACCAGGGGATAGGAAATCATCTTCATTATGCAGCCTAGGAAATGGAGAGGGTCCCCGCCCCCCAACCAAACACACACTGGAGCTTGTAGACTTGGCCCAGACCCTGCAGCTAAGGAGTGGTAGACCCCGGACTTGAACCCACATTATAGGTGAGCTCCACAGTGGGTGCTGCCTGCCTCCTTCTGGAAGCATGACCTCCGACTAGTTTCCTAACCTGCCTAGTTCCTCAATGACTCTGTTTGCAGTTCGTTGGCAATCCCCATGCTACAGAGAGAAAGATCTTGCATCAGCTGGTTCACTCCCCAGGTGGCCTCAATGGCCAGAGAGCAAAGCTAATCCAAAGCCAGGAGCCAGGAGCTTCTTTCAGGTCTCCCACGTGGGATGCTTTGGGCCATCCTCAACTGATTTCTCAGGCTGCAAGCAGGGAGATGGATGGCAAGTGGAGCAGCTGGGACAAGAACTAGCACTTGCAGGTTGGGGATTAGCTAGCTGAGCCATTGTGCCAGCCCCTAGAATGGCAGGATGAAAGAGATTTAGGAGTCAGCCGGGGTCAGGCTTGTTGGCATAAAGATGGGGGTGAACCCCAACATCTGGCACCCAGGAGGTACCCAGCAGAAGGACGTCCGGGAGGGGGACATTTGAGTCACCCCCACTGTTGTGTGGCCCTCAGGTCACTTGCCCTTCTCCCTGCCCCCTCCCCAGGCCCTTCCACCCTCCCTGCTCTCTCTCACTAGTTCCTGGAGGCCACGCTGCGGACCCTGGAGGCCGGCTGGCATGTGGAGTTGGATCCCTTCACGGCCTCCACGCCCCTGGGAACCCTGGACTTCGGCAACATCGTGGCCACACTGGACCCAGGGGCCGCTCGTCACCTCACCCTCGCCTGCCACTACGACTCGAAGCTCTTTCCTCCCGAGGCAGCCCCATTCGTGGGCGCCACGGATTCTGCCGTGCCCTGTGCCCTGCTCCTGGAGCTAGCCCAGGCCCTTGACCCAGAGCTAAGCAGGGCCAAGGAACAGGTGAGAAGTGGGGGATGAGTGAGGGGCGCTGCCGGGCCACCCCCACCCTGCTCTGAGCCACCAGCCTTCCTCGCCTGGGTGGTTGTCGTTCGTTTTGTCTCCCCACAGCCGCCACACACACAGAGCCAGAGAGATCATTCCGCCTTCCTGTCTTACCCACACCCTGCCTGGCTCGCACCTCATTCATTCCAAGCACAGGCCAGAGCCTATGTAGGACCCCAAGGCGTGCCAGACACAGCCTCCCGGGGGGCTCTTGCCTTGGCCTCAGAAGCCCCCAAGGACAGTTTAACCCCCTGCCCAGCCACCCCTCTAGCCTGGTGTCACCTCCCCCACCCCTGTGATACCGTGTGAGTTTCAGGGAGGCAGTGACCACAGACACTTTCAGTGGGAGATACTGTGATGTACTTGCATCCTGTGGGCCTTTGCAAATGCACTCCACCCCTTGTGCCCCAACCCAGCACCTCTCTAAAGCTCAGTCCCCTGCAGCCTCCCACCCTTACCACTGCTTACTCCGCTCCAGCCATGCCCACCTGCTCTGGGCCCCTCCAACCCTAGGGTTTGCCCTGGTTTGGGGCCTTTGCACCTGCTGTCAGCCCTACTGTAGAGAAAGTTTTTCACCACTGTCTTCCTGCGTGGCTCCTGCTGCACACCATCGGTATTTCCTTAGCGTAGCCTCCCTAGTGACCTCAGACAGCTCCTGTCACTGTCGCATAGCTTCTTGTTGGTATGTCTGCCTGCTGCCACTCAACAACATAAATTCCGTAAAAATCAAGGACACGGTTCTTGGCCACCCTCATTCCATGAGTGATGTCACCTACCTGGATTTCTAACCAGCCAGGCTGGGGCAGGGAGGAGGGGGCCAGGTCATGACGTGGGGGTGGACTCAGGCAGAAGCTGGCACTGAGCCGGCCTGGGGCCTTTTGCTCCCCTAGGCAGCCCCTGTGACCCTGCAACTGATGTTCCTGGACGGCGAGGAGGCGCTGAAGGAGTGGGGGCCCAGGGATTCCCTGTATGGATCTCGACACCTGGCCAAGCTCATGGAGTCCATGCCCCATAGTCCCGGCCCCACCAGGATCCAGGCCATCGTAAGAGCGAGGGCTCCTGCTGGGCTTGGGCCAGGAGGGAGAGGAGAAGTGGGGGGTAGGATCCAGCCCAGCTGGCCCCCTCTCTCCAGCCTGGGCTGCCTCTCCTGCAGGAGCTCTTTGTACTTCTGGATCTCCTGGGAGCCCCAAACCCAACCTTCTACAGCCACTTCCCTCGCACCATCCGCTGGTTCCATCGGCTCAGGAGCATCGGTAAGGGCCAAGGCCAAGGTCAAGGCTGGCTCAGCTTGCGCCACGTGCAGCACCCTGGGACCTTCTACCTGGCTGGTCTAAGAAGCTGCTGGGAGCAGAAATGCCAGTGAATCCCATTGCAGGTCAAGAGCGGAGATTGAGACACTGGGGGAGGGCGGTAAGACAGCGCCTGTGCGGCTGTTCAGTCCTGGCCATGCTTCTTTTCAGACGGGTGACCTAGGGCAGGTGTCAGCACTTCTCTGGGAAGCCCTGGAGACCTAGAGGGATGAACTGGGACCAGGAACGCGGGGAGCCCACCATGAGGAGGAGCTGGGATCCGTCCTGTGTCCACACGACACAGCCATGGCCTCTTGCTGTGGGCGGTGGGCGCCAGGCTGCAGAGGACTGACACTCGCTCTCCTTCCTCCTCAACTACCCCCAGAGAAGCGTCTACACCGGCTGAACCTGCTGCAGTCGCATCCCGAGGAAGTGATGTACTTCCAGCCCGGGGAGCCCCCCGGCTCGGTGGAGGACGACCATATCCCCTTCCTCCGCAGAGGTGGGCACTGCAGGGACACAGAGGAGGGGGCCAGGTGTCCAGGGAGCCCAGCTGGGACCTGGGCAGTGCTGGGGGCCTGTTTGTGCTTTAACTTCATTATCTGTGAAATGGAGATGTCTAGTGTTGTTGTTAAAGAAGTATTTAGTCAGAAAGAGAGAGAGAGAATGATCTTTGATCTGCTGGTTTATTCCTCAAATGGTCACAACAGCATGTTGCAGCTGGGAACCAGGAGCCTCTTCTGGATCTTCCTCATGGATGGGTGCAGGGTCCCAAGGCTTTGGGCTGGCCTCGACTGCTTTCCCAGGCCACAAGCAGGGAGCTGGATGGGAAGTGGAGCTGCCGGGATTAGAACCGACACTCATGGGATGGCAGCACTGCAGGTGAAGGCTTACTATACTACGCCCCGGCGCTGGGCCACAGATTTCTCATAATACACATTTTCCTTGAACTTAGTGGAGACTTGCCTTGCATACAAACGTAGGCACAGGGCTGTAATTAGAACAGGTATGTATGGTGCCTCCTCACACCATGCTGGGCAGAGAATAACTGCTAAAAAAAAAAAATGCTTTCAAAAGTGCACTGTGCAGTGGACGCATTCGACAAATACACATTCCTTACAGTGCCTTTACAGGTTGATTCAAGGTGGGAAGTCAGTAGATGGGGGGTCTGGGGCCCAGCTGCCTGGCTCCCAGGCCAGCCGGGGCCAGGCAGAAATATCCAGCAAGCCTGGATACAAACGCATGCGGAATTGTGCCTAGTGGAGGAAGCTGATGTGGCATGGGGTCACACTGAGTGTACTGTTAACCAGGGGGCAGGGACCTGGCCAGATCCCAGGCCTGCCAGGTGGGTGCAGGGGCCCAAGCCCTTGGGCCATCCTTTGCTGCCTTCCCAGGACCATTAGTAGGAGCTGGATGGGAAGCGGAGCAGCTGGGATTTGACCTGCTGCACCCTAACCCAGGCACTCGGAGAATGGGTGAGGGAGTTCCCCGCAGCATCCTGAGCGGTTCACCCGAAGCCTGCCCATCAGTGTGTGTGTGTGTGTGTGTGTGTGTGCGTGTGTGCGTGTGTGTGTGTGTGTGTGCGTGTGCGTGTGTGCGTGTGTGTGCGTGTGTGTGTGTGTGTGTGCGTGTGTGCGTGTGTGTGTGTGTGTGGCCTTAGCCTGCCGCCTACAGTCTAGCGAGCACAGTGCTTGTCTAGGTGCTATTTCTTATTTAAATAATAGTAAAAGGGAAGGGGCCAGCATGATGGTTCAGTTGGCTAATGTGCTTGCAAGCAACAGTATCTCATATGGGTGCTGGTTCAAGTCCTGGCTGCTCCACTTCCCATCCAGCTCCTTGCTTGTGGCCTGGGAAAGCAGTGGAGGATGGCCCAAGGGAGACCTGGAAGAAGCTCCTGGCCCCTGGCTTTGGATTGGCTCAGCTCCAGCCGTTGTGGCCACCTGGGAAGTGAACCAACAGATAGAAGATCTTTCTCTCTTGCCTCTCCTTCTGTCTGTAAATCTGCCTTTGCAATAAAAATAAATCTTTAAAAAGAAAGGGAGCCAGATGTGCACCTGCGTGGTGAGGATAAAGAACATTTTTTTTTTCTTCTGGTCTCTCCACAGCAAGGTTCAGTGTCTGAGTGCCTTGCATTTGTGTTATGAAAACAAGATATGTTGTTTCTTTTAATTTTTTTTTTTTTTTTGTAAAAAAGAACATGCACCTAAAAGCCCAGAGTTGAAGTGTCAGTTGGCGTTTGTGTGGTGGGTAGGGACTCCTGGGTTGGCGATGGCCGCTGACCTCCCTCTCTCTCCCTTCCCTCACCTCAGGGGTTCCGGTGCTCCATCTCATAGCCACGCCCTTCCCCTCCGTGTGGCACACCCCTGCCGACTCCGAGGCCAATCTCCACCCGCCCACCATTCACAACCTCAGCCGCATCCTGGCCGTGTTCCTGGCTGAATACCTGGGCCTCTAGCCTGGCAGACAGCAGTGACCCAAGGGCAGACCCAGCTCCAAGGGAGCAGCGACCAGCAAGGGGGACCTGCCGAGGGCAACGGACCCGGGAAGTCTCTTCTACAACTGCTGATGCTGTGACCAGAAATCTCCTCCCCGCTGACTACCTCAGCTCCACCCTCCCAGGACGGGGAAGAGACCGTGGAGGAAGAAGAGGAAGAAGCTATCCCTTCCCAGAGGTCAATACTGGATGTGAAGGTTGGCGGGGACCCAGTGCTGTTCTTGGCATCGCTGGCCACAGACCAGACCAGCAGCACCTTGCCAGCCAATGGACGCTCTGATTTGCATCTCGTGTACCGTCTGCCCATCTGTCCTCCCAAACAGCAGCTGTGTTGCTGCTGCAGTCCAAACCCAGCACCCAAGTGGGGTCTACAGGGCATGTGTTGCGCCCAGGAGCAGAGGAGATGGGCACCAGGAGAAGGATCCGAGAGCCAACAAATGGGGCGAGAGGACATGAAATGTTTCGCCAGCTGGTGCTGCTCTGTACAAACTGGAAACTCCCGGTCCTGTTTCAGTCCTCCAGGGAGGGCCCAGGGCTCGTCAAGCGAACACCTGAGCTACCGTTTGGGCTGTGCCATCCTTAGGGACATGGCTCCCCTCACGGAGGAGCCGGGGATACAATGTCCGGCTCTGCTGAGCTGCATGGCAACTGCTCTGGTGGACCCTGCTGACGAAGCCCTCGGCCGTCAGTGGCAGTGCCAGGCCAACATGGAGGGTGGTTCTATAGCTAAGGGGACATCAGCTTCTAGTCCAGAACCCTGGAAGACTCAGGGCTGACCCTCAGGACATCAAAGCATGGGAGAGAGGGCAGGGCCTGGTGAGGACTTGACACCTGTCATCTCGTTTAGTCCCTGCCCCCACCCCCCTTCCCGAGGCAGGTGCAATTTCAGTTCTCATTTTGGGGAATGCAGTGGTTGAAACCAAGACTCGTGAGCTGAGCATGCTGGCAAGGGAAGGAGACTCACCCTCAGCTCTGCTGCCTCCCCCTGCACACCTCCCACCTCCCTCCCCAAATCACCTGGGTTCCTCTTCATAAAAATCAGCAAAAATCTTTAATCATGGCTCCACACTCACATCTGAAGGCAGGCCTGCTAGCCCCGCATTAGAAGTGAAGTTGCAGCTGGCTGGCTTCCCTCAGCTGTGTGTGTGTGTCTGCGTCTGTCCTCTGCTGTGCCAGGCCTCCCTCAGCTCTCTCTGTGTGTTTGTCCTGGCTAAGCATTCCAGACATGCAGGTCCGGGGCCTCCGGTCGACCTTCGGAGGATCCCTCATCAACGCTGCTGAGCCTGAAGCTCTCTGGGCTTTGACAAAAACCCCCACTGGACTTACATGATGGTTGGGACTGCCCCTCCAGTGCAGGCACACAGACACGTGGCATACATAACCTGCAGGCTGTGTGTTTGAAGTACTGCAGGTGACATCAAGGACAACTTGGGGTTGATACTGGAGTCCCATCCCTCCCGGACTACGGAGCAACTCCCCTACTCCCAAGTCTGAAACTTTTCAGGCCCCCGAGCACTCTTGAGAATGACTCAACATCAACATGTTGAGTTTTTTCAGAGACAGAACCTGAGGATCCTGAAGACTTGGGTGCCCGAGACCCTATGGCAAGGTCTGGGAAGCCATTTCTCTTTGCCCTCTGACTCATTGGGGCGCACCTGATGAGTTTGGGGTTCCTTGATTCTGGAACGCCAACTAAATCCTCTGAAACCTTCCCTGTCTTTGTGCAACATTTTTCTCCCTCAGCTTCCAATTCGGTAAACCTTTTCTCCAGCCACGTCTGCCCTGCTGGTGTAACCCAGCCACACTGAGTCCACACCTGCTAAGCGCACGTTTCGCTTCCAGAAGGTGGTGTCTGTTCTTCCCCATCTCCTAGGCTACGTCTTCGTTCTAGGTTCCCTGCTGTGGTGTCCAAACTCTTGACAAAATTTTAAATGTAGCTTAAAATACACAGGGCATCGTGGTGGGTGAAGGAGGACCTGTCTGGGGGTATGCCTGCTCTTGGTGACCATTGCCATTCTTGTGGGCACGGCCTACAGGACAGCCTGAGGGGGAGGACCATTCCTCCAGCCGTGCCCCTCAGCCCAGCAAGACACCTGCTGCTAGGGCTCCTCACAACCTACGCTGCCCACCGTCTCTCTCGGCCTTCTCAACAACCTGAACCTGTGGCCCCTAATGGGGTCGCCTTTGGTCTAGTCTGCTTGGCCCACCCAGGAAGGCTGCCAAACAGGAAACTGTCTTCAACTGCAAAAGTAGCTGCTGGGCCCACGCACCTCTCCTGCCATTGGCTTGCTGCTTCTGCCTGTATTTTACTGGCAATCTGAAGCACTTTAGGACATTATTTTACTTGTCTTCAGCAGGAGGATCTGAATGATGTAACCTACACAGCCCCATGGCTGCCAGCCAAGACTCACACTCGGGTCTCAGATTCACGCGTGTTCAGCATGAGCGACCCCTGGCATAGTCAAGTGTCTGTGGCAATGTAAGAATGCCACTAACTAGCGGCGGTCTCTCCATGGCCATGTTCTCTTTTATTCTATTTAAATTGAAAAGACATCAGGGCTTTGTGCTGTGGTACAGCTTGTTAGGTGGTTGCCTGTCATGCTGCTGGCATCCCAGACGGAAAGGAGTTCATGTCCCAGCTGTTCCACTTGCCATCCAGCTCCCCACTAACGCGCCTGGGAAAGCAGCAGAAGTGTTTGGGGTCTTGTCACTCACATGGGAGACCTGGGGGCTGGGGAAGCTCCTGGCTCCCTGGTTTGGACCTGGCCCAGCATGGGCCACTGCAGCCATCTGGGAAATGAAACAGCACATGGAAGATCTATGATGATGTTACAACTGAAGTAAATAAATTATTTTTAAAAATTCCCCTTGTTGCTGAGTAACTTAGTAGTTATTTTTAAACTTTCATTATAGAGACCTTTGGTAGGGCTGTATTCACCAGCCTCCCTTTCATCACCTCAGCCTTCTGTACGGCTGGACTTGACACCTGTGGGGAAGAAGGGGACCTCCCATCCTGCAACAGGGCAACAGCAGACGTTCCAGAAGCCACTGCGGGCAACCGGGACAAGGGCCACAGCCAAAGAATGATGGGCAAGTATGCTACAGGCTCCTGGGTTCCAGGTGATGGGGGCTGTGAAATTCTCATTAAAAAAAAAAATTGTTTCTGCCACTCTTCTAAGATATTCACACCCAATCCGACAAAGGTAACCAGAGTCAGGAGTAACCTCAGGTCCCCCTTTCCATGATCCCCATTCCCATGTCCTGGCTCTTACCAACACACAAACCAGTCGGGGCCCAACCTTATAAATATTGATTTTATAGAAAGGACCAATTAAAAACTGGCCAAGATGCCACACGCTAGAAGCTTCCAGAACCACAATGATGGGGGAAAAAAAAAAAATCCAGAACAAAGATGTCCCCAGAAACAAACTGCCTGAAAATCAAGGTCCCGGTTGACCAAAGGATTCTACAGCAGCACATGGGGCCAGGGCTGCAGACCCCCATATCCGGAGCGGAAGGACAGACAAGGGATGCCCGCCCCCAGCCCGGGCCCTCTGCTGCTCCACTGCTGAGAGCTGGGCAGAGGGCTTCACAGCGTTCATGGGCGGTGGGGAGGGGATAGCTTAAATAACAGGGGTTGGGGGAGTTTTAGGCTTCAGATTTCTTTTCCCCTATAGGGAAGAGGGAGGAGACTGGTTTAGGGGAAACCTTAGTGGGAAAAGTCTGGCAACAGCCTGTGATCCAGGGCCCTCACCCCGGGGCAGGGGCAGGCCCTGCTGGCTCTTGGGAAGAAACAGCTCCACAAGATAGAGAACTGGGGGAATGGAGTCAGATGGGTGAACCCTTAAGTGGTACCAAAATTAGCTGCCATCAGCTCCCTGCTGGTGGGTCCTTGGGGTTGAAGGCGGCAGGGAGGGAGTTGGGGTGGGAGAAACTGAGATGTTGATTTAAAAAAAAAAAAAAAAGCAAACTTACCCACCCACCCTTGTAGGAGGGCCTGCAGCCCTGGGGGTCTGTGGAACAGAAAATCAATGGGGCTGCCAGGGGTCCAGTCGCACATCACCCTTTGGGCCCTGTCTCAGTTCGGCTAGAAAGTCAGTGCTGACAGGGACGGGGAGGGGGGTGCCAGGTGGGGGCCGGGCATGGTGGGCTCCCTCCCCCCTCCTCCCCCCAAGCTTCACCTCCCCTCCTCCCGGCCAGCCCGGGGTCCCCCACCCGGCCCGTTGCAGGGCAGCACCCAGTTATTGTCGTGCAGGCCCAGGCGGCAGCCGGGCGTTTCGCGGTCGGCCCGGCGGCAGCACATCCAGTAGGAGCGTCCATAAGGCAGGTCGTGGTGGTAGGGCTTGGGGTGCCAGCGGCACAGGGACACGTCACCCTTCTCATATCTCTTGCGGCACTGCTTGCAAGGGTCGTCCCGGTAGAGTGGGTCGCGGCTCCAGCGTGAGTCGGTGGCCCGCACACCGAACGCCTCGATGACGCCCTTGAAGTGGTGGCAGGTGCACTTGAGGGCTGCCAGGGCACGCGTGGGCAGGAAGCTGAAGATCTTGACCAGCACGTGCTCCGGCAGCAGCAGCATGTACTGCCGCGGCTCGAGCAGTCGCTGAATCTTGAAGCGGATCTCCAGGAAATCGTGTGACACGTGCCGGTACAGGCGGCACAGCGAGGTGTCCGCAGGTCCTTCGGGGGTGTCGTCCGGGGTGGGTGCTGCGGCTGGTGGGGCGTCGGCTGGGGGAGGCTCAGGGGGCCCATCGCCTGTCCCCCGGGACTGAAGGAAGAAGAGCTGGCCCGGTGGGGGTGGCTCCTCGGGGCTGACCGTCAGGCAAACGGTCTCCTCCTTCACGTTCTTGGTACCGTCCTTGCCAAAGAAGATGCATTCATCCACCACGCCCGTCACCACCACATCCACGTGGAAGCCGGACGCGCCGCCGCAGTCCCGGGCAGGGGGCGGAGGTGGGGCTGGGGGGGTGTCCTCGGGCCTGGCCATGGCTGGGGAGTCACTCTCGCTGGCCTCATCGGCCCGAGCCAGCAGGAACTCCACGTTGCTGGGAAGGGCGTCCCTGGAGGGGCTGATGAGCTGGTACAAGTCACAGGTGATCTTGTCCTTGGCTCGGGCTCCAGGGCCTGGGCTGCCGGGGTAGGCACAGCCAGGCCGGCCCCCGCCCCCGCTGGACAAGCCACCATCTGGCCCCCGGGGCTCGCGGCCGTTAGAGATGCGGAAGGCAATACGTACCTCACCGGGACCCGGGCCGGGCCTCTCCTCCTTGCGGAGGCCCTTGGTTGGAGGGCTGTCCCGTTGGGCCTCAAAGTGGGCTACAGCCTCGGCTACACGGCTGCAGTCACCACTGCTACCAGCGGCCCGCCGTTCAGCCCCCAGACCTTTGGCTGGTCCACCCTGCTCAGCAGACACGAAGACCATGGGTGATGGGGTGGCAGGGCGTGGGTAGGTCTGCAGGGCCAGGGCAGCCCGCTGTTCCACCAGGGCCACCATCTCAGCCACCGACAGCAGGTCCACATCCTCGCTGGCTGAGGTGGGACCACCCTCAGCAGTGGGGGGTCCCTCACGGCCCCCCGGGTCTGGGGGAGCTT